TGGTTCATGAGGAAATGGCACAGGCAGGAGGCGGAAGCGTCCGCGAAGCGCCAGCGCGCGAGGGAAGCAGAAGCAGAGAGTACGGCCATCTCAGGACCGAAGAGAAAGAGAGCCGGGGAAGCGGCGGTGGGGGGGAAGAAACGGCGACCGAGCACTGCTGTAGACGCGAGTAGGGCGGTCGAGGCAGCACTTGTGGCGAACTATGTACCCGGCTGATGTTGTTGCGCCCTGTTTGCCTCCCTGCTGTGTGCTATACTCCTTTATGTATGTCCTTTGTATTGCCTTCGGCCTCTGTGCTGTGTTTGTTTTTTTCATGACCTCCCTGCCTACTCTGCTCTGTTGGGTACCTTGATCTCGCTTTTGCTGTTGCCTTTGTTTTTGTACATTTGGCTGTCTGCCCATCTGCCGCCTCTTTGTCCTGTTTGCTCCGTTACTCCCATGCCCCGGTGCGTAGTGCCTGGTGCTGATACATTTCCCTTTGATTTTTTCTTTGGGCAGGAGTGGGAAGCGTCCTCCTTTAATTTTTGTTTTTGTTTTATTTTGATCGGTTTCCGAGGGCTCTTTTCTCGAACGGTCGGTGCGATACCTGTCCTTTCCTTTCTATCATTTTGTTTTCTTTTTCCGAGTGGTTTGTACCCTATTTTTGTTTTGTTTCCCCGCGGCGTCGTATGTGCCGGGTTTTGAGACCACGGGCTCCCCATTTTTTTTGGACTATACAGCTAATGTGAGAAACAACAACAACAACAACAAATTAGCCCGAGGATGTGTGATACGTTGGAAAGTGCATTGATCCGTTCCATGCATCGGTCCGTGTTCGGTATATATGCGTGATCTTGCGGATGCCCAAGCGTGATGCTGCTGGGATGCTGTGCACCCACCCATCTCGCTCCACCTTTTGACCTGTTCTCCTGGTCCAAGGTCTCATCAATACAACATATTTTCCCCAGAAGCCACGAGTTTACCAACACGCTATGGCGCCAATCAGTCGACTGCTGCTTGTCCCCTCGTACTACTGTACATCAAGACTGCACGGAGGCAGATTGATCACCTTGCTTCGTGATGAGTGGGCCTGCTAGGGATCATGTGGATGACCTATCTCCGGGTGATTCGCAGGATGTTATTGGTGGTGAGAGATTGGATTCGATTGAGACACAGTTGTCCCAGCTCACGAGCATCATCAAGTCGCTTGTTGGGCAACGAGGTGATCAGGTGGAGTCCGCTGTCGGTGCTGCTGCGCCGGCAAGCGGCAGAACAGAGTACGGGGCTGGTGCGCATCAATCGGATGCAACCAGTGGGACTGCGGGAGGTACGGGCGGCGATGCCCCAGTCCTTGTCATGTCCAGCGTTGGGGTTGGGAATGGTAGTCCTGCAGGCGCAGGCTCAGGCTTGAACCCTAGTGCAACTGGTGTTAATCGGGTTGAAAGTTGTGGTCTCTTAGACTCAGGCTTGAACCCTGATGCATCTACAGTAAATCATTCCTCTGTTGGTGTCGCAAACTTTGGTTCGATCGGAATTGGGAGTGGGGCGCCAGGTAGCCAGTCTTTCATTCCGCCCCCGTTACTCCATCGAGTGAGTGGTGGGGACATGCCGCCAGCGTGTGTGTGTGTGTGTGTGTGTGTGTGTGTGTTCTGGTCCTATTTATTATGGCGACAGTCCCCCCATTTTTCGTGGTGAGACTTGTACTACACTCTTTTCAGCGTATGTAGAGTACTACACTTTTCAGTGTATTTTTCGTACAACTACAACTATCCAGGGTCACACAGGAGGGGGTAAACACCAGGGCTCTTTTCTTCTTTTTCATTTCTTTTCATGCCCCACCTTCCTCCTGCGGTGCGTGCTGCATTTTATTTTGATCGCGAAAAGGGTCCAGCCGTCTCTGTCCCTCGTCAACGGTGTTAACGTCGAAGTTTGGTACTCACGAGAGCTTTTTGCTATATGTATTTCGCTTTCACCCGCAAATTTCGTAAAGTTTTCACCCTATGGGGATTCGAACTCACGACCTCTGCGACTATTATATATATATGAGCGGATGACGAGGATACCACTAGACCACTGCCGGTGGAAACACACTGAACCGTGGGGCCGGCATGTCAGACACAGGAGTGAAGTTGGGTAGGAGCCCTTTTAAATTTCCCAAAGCTCCTGTTTTTGACGGGACTGATGTTGTCTCGTATCCGTTGTGGTCAAAACATTTTCGGCTAGGTGCCCTCCACAATAGTCTGTTTGAAGCGTTGTGTGTGTCTACACATGAGATTCCGATTGCAAGCTTGAATTCGACATGACCCTCTCGGTACAGCAAGGATTCAGTGTGGATGTGCTGCGCCAGGCAGAAAAGAGAACGGCCAGAAGTCTGACATGGTGCTATTTTCTCAAACCAGATTAAACAACTCGCATGATCTCACGTTTCTGGTAGCGTATTACGAAGTTATGCTGCTGGAGTGCTTGTCAGGTGATGATGCTGTTCGCAAATACTTTTTATTCTTGTGAGAAAGGATAGATGTGTCGAAGAATGGCGCAGCGGACACGGTTACTGCTTTCCACATGGCAGACTCTCTCTCTAGCATTAAGGATGTGAAGTCTTGCTATTAAAACGCATGAAGGATTGATGGTGTGACTTGTGAAGTAGCACTGGAACCCCACAGTATGTGTTTGTGATTGCTGACAGCGAGTGTTCAGTAGAGTTGAAGAAGGTTTGTGCAACCCCTTTTCTCCCAGCGCAGTGTTTGATGGCAAGTTATGAAATAGTCTCGGTGGTCTTGATGGTGTGATGGCTGCTTTCGACGGAACACTTAGTTTTCAGAACTTCGATGGCATGGTTGTTGCTACTGTGTATCGTCTGGGAGATGAATCTGTTGGTTCGGTGTTAGCTGCCTCACCCCTCTAGACCCCAAAGCAACGAAGATGGATGCGAACGAGTTTCATAGCGTTTATGGTCATCCACATGAGGGATTGCTTCGTGCAACTGCAAGGCGACCGGGTATTGAGTGGACTGGTGAAATTCATGCGTGTACGGGATGTTCGATGTCGCAGGAAAGGAATTGCTCGTGAAACTAAACGCAGATCAGACAAATAATTGGGCAGAGTTTTTGTTGACCTGGGAGGACGGAAGGACGTGCGTCCGTTGGGGGTAAACATTACCCCATGATAGTGAAGGATAATTTCACTAGACGTACATGGCTGTATTTCCTGAGAAATAAATCAGACGCTGGAGGTGCTTTCAGAAGTTTGCTTGCTAGTGTGCGTGCTGATGAAAACCTACCATCAATGGTTGAGATTTTTAGATCTGACAATGGGGAGGTGTACTCATAGTCGTGCATGCCGTAGTCGTTAGACCATTGACCTCGCATCCCTACAAAGCCGGGACGGAGCACGCCGGGTTCTCACCGGACCAGGCTCTCACATCACCAAGCGCGAAGCGCCGTGAGGGGGGGGCTTGTTTTACAACGTCGTTGCCATGCGACGAAAACCCAACCCCGATGGCAATCACCGGGGGGGGGGACTGACAATGGGGGGGAGTTTTTCGGGGGGGAATTTGCGTCAGTGTGCAATGAGCTCTTGATTTAGCAAGAGTTCACCCCGGCTTACAGTCCACAATACAACGGTGTTGCAGAGCGTGGTTTGGGATTGATTGCGGCAGCTGCAATAGCGGCTCGTAGTTAGGCGAAGGTTTTGTTTGGGCATGTGCAGTTACCTAAGACGGACAGACTCTGGGGCTGAGGCCATGCGCTGGGCTTGCGAAGCACTTAACCACACAGCTTGTTCCACTAACGTAGACAGCAAATCCCCGTATGAGATGTGGTATGGCGAAGCTAGTCCTGCTAGACTGTATCCGGTTTTGAAACCGGCTTACTGTAGGTGGCAGCGACCGTCTAAGCTGCTGCCCAAGGGTGAGGCTTGCTTTTATGTCGGTCTTTCGAGAGACCACCCGCGTGACTGTCATAGAGTACTTGCGAGGGTAGGGACTATTCAAGAATCGAGGGATGTGACATGGGAGGCATTGCCGTCACAACTCCCTCCACCGCAACCATCTCTCTTGCCGATAGAGGTAGCAGGGAAGGGAGGGGAGGAAAGTGACGATCCGAGGCATGGCCGCTTGTAGGAAGAGGAGTACCCCACATTCTTCTGCGACGTGATGAAGCGGTCTCTGACGGAGAAATCGATGAGGTTGGCAATGTTGATTCAGGCAGTGAAGGCCAATCCCCATTTGTGCCATATTGGCCCGCGATTAATTTCCCTAGTAGCGCAGCTGCCCCTGTGTCTTCTCCAGCATACGAGTTCACCGATGAGGGAGAGCAGGGGGGGCCGGAGACAGGGGAGGCAAAATCGGCGGGTCCGGGAGGGCAGGAGGTAGAGTCGGAGAGTCAGGAGGTAGAGTCGGAGAGTCAGGAAGGGTTGGATGAAGAGTTCGTGGAGCCGGGAGGGCAGGAGGTAGAATCGTAGACACTTCCCCCTGCTACGCACGTACCATCTAGTCGTCGTGCGCAGCATGAGCTTGCTAGTTACAACACTGCTGCGAATCAGAATGATGAAGTTAGAAGTGGCAGAACCCGTGCGCAAACTCGGGCCGTAAACCAGCAGAGCGTATCCGGTCTCATGGCCACTCCAGGACCTATCTCCGCATCTGAAATTGTAGAAGCACTCTTAGCGGAGCAGAGAGCGTGTGATACTATGGAGCTGCCGAGGGAGCTCAATCAGGACGTAGAGACAGAGCCTGGTAGCTACCGAGAAGCCCGCCAGTCAAAGCATGCAGTGACTTGGAACAAAGTCATGTCTGCAGAGTTTGAAGGTTTGTTAAGAGCAGGAACGTTCGCGTCAGCAGTAAAGGTCCCGATAGGCTGTAACGTGATAGATGCTAGATGGGTCTACAAATGGAAAGCAGACGAACCAGGCAAGATAGTGAGGCCAAGGCTAGGTTTGTAGCGAAGGGCTTCAAGCAGAAGCATGGTGTAGACTATCTTGAGACTTTCTCGCCTACTGCAAATGCTGCATCGATTCGTTTGCTGGTAGCATTGGCGTGCAAGTATAACTTGGAATTACTCCACTTTGACATTGACCAAGCGTTTGTTCAGTCGGAATTGGATCATGAGGTGTTCATAAAGTTGCCTCCTGACTGCGAGTCGATGTCAGGAAAGCTCGTCCGTTTAGACAAGAGTTTGTGTGGACTGAGGCAGGCATCTAAAACATTTCAAAAGAGACTAGTGTCGGACCTGAATAAAATTGGTTTTGAGCAGTCTCTGTCTGACCCGTGTGTCCTTCGTTTCATAATGGGGGACGAGGTGATGGGTATGGTCGCGATTCATGTGGATGACATTCTGTATGCAGGAATTGAGAGGCTTGCCAAGATGGTTGTGGAAGCGCTAGGTGACTCACTTCCCACGAAGAATTTGGGCGAGGTCAAGTTCTTTCTTGGTTGCCGGTTGGTCGCGACCGCCAGGCTGGCACAATTGAGATTTCTCAAGAGAGTTACACAAGGAGTGTTCTCGAGAGATTCAATATTTGTCGCACCAGCTCGATTCCCGCTTCCCCTGCTAACGCTTACAGGCCCGTGATGGAGGATGAGGAGGCAGGGGATGTGCCGTTCCGAGAGGTGTTGGGGAGCCTGATGTGGATCGCCAACCAGACGAGGCCCGACATCTCAAATGCTGTGCTTGCAGTGGCGAGGCACTCTCATGAGCAAAAGAAAAGCCACTGGAAGGCGGCCCAGAAGATTCTGAATTATCTTCTGGAGACGGCACATCAAACTTTGAAGTACAAGTAGGATGATACGGTAGGCGTAGGCACGTTGGTGTACGTAGATGCTGACTTCGCCAGCAAGGCCACTGACCGTAGATCAGTTTTGGGAGCGTTAGTTCTTGTAGCTGTCTTATTGCTTGGATTTCTAGGACACAGGAATGTGCTTCATTGTCGATGTCTGAAGCAGAGTATATTGCGATGGGCGATGGTGTGAAGGAAGCTCTGTTTGTGAACGGAATGCTAGAGTTTTAAGGCCTAGTGAGAAACTTGGTAAGGTTCAGGTACTTGAGGACAGCGAGGGTGCGATTGCGCTTGCTGAGAATTCCTTTGGCTCGTGTAACAGTAAGCACATTGACGTGAGGCACCATTTTCTTAGGAATTTGACAGAGGAGGGAGTGTTGGGAGTCAGCGCTGACTATGCTGAGAATCCCCTTAGCTCGTGCAACAGTAAGCACATTGACGTGAGGCACCATTTTCTTAGGAATTTGACAGANTTAAGGCCTAGTGAGAAACTTGGTAAGGTTCAGGTACTTGAGGACAGCGAGGGTGCGATTGCGCTTGCTGAGAATTCCTTTGGCTCGTGTAACAGTAAGCACATTGACGTGAGGCACCATTTTCTTAGGAATTTGACAGAGGAGGGAGTGTTGGGAGTCAGCGCTGACTATGCTGAGAATCCCCTTAGCTCGTGCAACAGTAAGCACATTGACGTGAGGCACCATTTTCTTAGGAATTTGACAGAGGAGGTAGTGTTGGCAGTCAGCCGTCATTGACAGAGGAGGGAGTGTTGGCAGTCAGCGCTGACTATGCTGAGAATTCCCTTAGCTCGTGTAACAGTAAGCACATTGACGTGAGGCACCATTTTCTTAGGAATTTGACAGAGGAGGGAGTGTTGGCAGTCACCCGTCTACACTAAATAATTTATTCGGCCCTCGACTTCGTCGTTACGAGCCGTTGACGATACTCTTACCCCAAGGCATTGTGGTCGAAATCGGTCTGCTGTTGTACTGAGATACATTCCACTATTGTATTCTGGGTGATCCGTATAGTCTCCCCAAACAAGAGAGGTGAATGTACCCGTGCTGTCAATAGCTTGACGGAAGTTGTTAAGAGCAGATCTGATCCAACATCCTCCAGCCGTGTTTGTGCTGTTTGATGGCATGTAAAATTGAGATTTGAGCCATGCTGCGACGCTAAGACCCCTGAATTGATGAGGATAGATGGTCGGTTCGAAATTTCCACCAAAAGGGTCCTTTAGGATTTGGAAATAGCGTGAAACAGAAGGGGATGCCTTCATCCCTCGCCTTGAAAGAGTAGCAGGTCGCTTGACAGTTTTCCTGTAAGCAGTCTTCTTTGCCGGGGTTCTACGTGCGGTAGTTGCTTTGCATTTTTGTGCCGGCATTGTATTGTTCCTTGTTATTACTATACATTTTAAATCATAATTATATGAATATTTAAAGCAAAGAGTTAAGCGGCCGGGTTGGCGATGAATTTAAGATAGAACATCAGTTATCTCTTCAAGAAGGGGGATTAAAACCCTTGCCACTGTGTTAAACTATGAGGATTGAGTGTAAAATTTTTCTGGTCCTTGACCCCTTTTCTGTGTCGTTTATAGTTTTAGTTTGATATGTCTGGAACGGAGGAGGACGCAGCTCTGCGCGCTAGGTTGGATGAGGCGCTACGAGCTATAGATGTTGCCAAGGCTGAGACGAAGGAGGCCAAGGCTGAGACGGAGGAGCTTAGGGCAGCACAGCGGCGGTCGGCGGGTGCACCTGCCGGCAACAGCCCAGGAGGCGACGGTCTAGTTGCTCCTGGAGGGGCTTTATCTGCACCGGTGAGGCCAATCAATGTGGCCAGGCGGAGTGAGTCATGATGGCGGTACTGGGGTGCCGGGTTTGCCTGTGGGAGGTACAATTGTCAGAACTCCTGAGCCTAGAATCCCGTCAAAATGCACGGCGGACACCTTTCTCAGTTGGCGGAGACGCTTTCTGGCCTACGTGGACAACCATAATCTCCAGCACACAATCGGCAGTGCTGAGGTTCCCGTTGTCAGTTGTCAGGATGAAGGATACTTGACTCGCCAGTATGGTGCACAGCTGGTTGTTGAGCATAAGAGGACATGGAGTTTTTTTCTTGGAGACAGCGGTGGGGGCCCCATTTGAGAACAACCTGTACTCTTGCCATTCCGTGGCAGAAGCGTGGAGGATGATGGAGGATTGGTTTTTGCCTAACCGCCCAGCTGATTGTCAGCTTCTCGTCGCCGAGCTAGACAATGTAACCATGAATGATGATGAGGACCCCAAGCTGTTTTTCTCGCGCGTCGCACAACTGGAGACCAAGTTGCGGGCTGTGGGCATTGCTAAGAGTGAGCAGGAAGTTGTGCAGATCTTTGTGCGCCANACAGCCCAGGAGGCGACGGTCTAGTTGCTCCTGGAGGGGCTTTATCTGCACCGGTGAGGCCAATCAATGTGGCCAGGCGGAGTGAGTCATGATGGCGGTACTGGGGTGCCGGGTTTGCCTGTGGGAGGTACAATTGTCAGAACTCCTGAGCCTAGAATCCCGTCAAAATGCACGGCGGACACCTTTCTCAGTTGGCGGAGACGCTTTCTGGCCTACGTGGACAACCATAATCTCCAGCACACAATCGGCAGTGCTGAGGTTCCCGTTGTCAGTTGTCAGGATGAAGGATACTTGACTCGCCAGTATGGTGCACAGCTGGTTGTTGAGCATAAGAGGACATGGAGTTTTTTTCTTGGAGACAGCGGTGGGGGCCCCATTTGAGAACAACCTGTACTCTTGCCATTCCGTGGCAGAAGCGTGGAGGATGATGGAGGATTGGTTTTTGCCTAACCGCCCAGCTGATTGTCAGCTTCTCGTCGCCGAGCTAGACAATGTAACCATGAATGATGATGAGGACCCCAAGCTGTTTTTCTCGCGCGTCGCACAACTGGAGACCAAGTTGCGGGCTGTGGGCATTGCTAAGAGTGAGCAGGAAGTTGTGCAGATCTTTGTGCGCCAACTCTCCGCACGCTACGATGTCGAGAAGCGCACTAGTCTTTCCAAGCGTGATTTTACCCGCGCCGAGTTGCAGGACGTCGTGCGTGGTCGATATGCTCAAGGCCAGCGAGATGAGGGAGCGAGGGTCGGCAGCTGCGACGCCGGCGGTTTCTGCCAACCCCCATGCTCTTGTTGTCGGCCGTGGTTTCGGACACGGCAGCAACGGGGGGAGTGGGGGGGTGGAGGCCAACGGCGGAATGGCAACAACGGCGACGGCCGCGGGCAACACTNGCTGTTTTTCTCGCGCGTCGCACAACTGGAGACCAAGTTGCGGGCTGTGGGCATTGCNAGCAACGGGGGGAGTGGGGGGGTGGAGGCCAACGGCGGAATGGCAACAACGGCGACGGCCGCGGGNCCCGCGCCGAGTTGCAGGACGTCGTGCGTGGTCGATATGCTCAAGGCCAGCGAGATGAGGGAGCGAGGGTCGGCAGCTGCGACGCCGGCGGTTTCTGCCAACCCCCATGCTCTTGTTGTCGGCCGTGGTTTCGGACACGGCAGCAACGGGGGGAGTGGGGGGGTGGAGGCCAACGGCGGAATGGCAACAACGGCGACGGCCGCGGGCAACACTGGTCCTCTGGGGGCGGTGCTGTCCAACCGCAACAGCCGCAGTTGGTGGTGCAGCGGTACCGGCAGCAGCAACAGCTGCAGCGGCAGATGCAACAGCCGCACCAACAGCCGCAGCAGCAGGTGCAGATGCAACAGTCGTACCAACAGCCGCAACAGCAGATGCGACAGCAACAGACGTACCAACAGCAGTCGCAGATGCAGCCGTACCGGCAGCCGCAGCAGCAGCGGCAGCAGCAACAGCCCGCTATGAACGGTGTTGGTGGCATCTACGATTGCGGTAGTAATGCCGTGTATCATGAGCCGGAATCACCACCTCCACCTGGCGCGCCGATGGGCACAGTGCACAGATGCGGCCGCTGTGGAAGGCACGGTCACCACGCCATAGATTCCACCGCCCCCCGCAGGTTCGAGGGCACGTGCGGTGCATGCTGCCAGGACATTCACATGTGGTGCAACTGGCCAAGAGCAACCGGCACCCCCACCTCACGTCGTTACTTCTGCTGGTCCCCTCGGTCCGGAGTACGCGTACACCACCGCAAGGCCTCCGGCCATCCTCCCCGCCGCCGCCGCGGGGGGAACACTGCCACCGCGGGGCCTCCCGCCATCCCCCCCTGCCGCCGCCGCCGTTTTCACCTTCCACGCCGCCGCCGCCGTGGAAAATGTCGACAATATCAAAGTTGGGCTCGCCCGGTGTCACGACCTGCTGCTGCTGTACGATCGTCCCACCGCCGCCACCGCTATCGCCACCGCCGCTGCCGCCACCGACGGCACCAGCATCACCGTTGCCGCCGCCACCAGCGCCGGCCAGCATGCATGGTGTCACTGTAGCATACGCCGTCGGCCGCCGGGACACCACGAAATTGGACGGCCGATGAGTTGAAACATGAATATTTATCTGAGGAATGAACTTGTTCTGAGTAGTCAGGACGAAAGACACGTTTTCCCGGAGTTACCCGTCCTCCCCGTTCTGACGTGATTCTGATGTAATGTTGATCTTTTTGCTGGGTATGTTGCCAAGAGTGATTGTTCGTGTTTTGACTGCTTGAGAATTCGGTAGAGCATATTTCTAAAGAGGGTGATTTGTTTTTCTTGGCATACCTTTTAGGGGTAGAAATTTGACATCAAAAAGGTTCGAAATCTTTGCAGAACGTGTTTTGTTGGACGATCCGGCGATTTCGTGGGACATGTGCTATTGGCAGAGTCGTTTGGATTGGAATGGTGAATGAGTTATTGTTGGCATAGGGTTTTAGTTTTTCTGTCTGCCGTTTTATCTGGCCATGATAGTCGTGACGGGGATTTCGTAGATCGTACTTCGTACCGAGCAGGGGGGCTGTTTGGGGTGCTCGGCAGAGTTTACTGTCAACGGGGCCTCCGGGCTATCGCGGATGGTATGTATTGATGGACATGCTACATGGCGATGGTGTGTGGGTGCGGTAGCTCGTCAGAGGCCGAAAGAGAAAGAAGGTTGACTCAAGACCTTGTTGCTTAGAGAGTAAGAGACATGCGGTAGGCCACACCATCGCCATGCAGCATGTCTGTCAATACATTCCATCCGCGTACCCCCCGGAGGCCCCGTAGACAGTATACTCTGCCGAGCACCCCAAACAGCCCCCCTGCTCGGTACGAGATACTATCTACGAAATCCCCGACACGACTATCATTGCCAGACAAAACGGCAGACAGAAAAACCAAAACCCCTAACAATAAATCATCCACCATNACGTAGACAGTATACTCTGCCGTACACCCCAAACAGCCCCCCTGCTCGGTACGAGATACTATCTACGAAATCCCCGACACAACTATCATTGCCAGACAAAACGGCAGACAGAAAATCCAAAACCCCTATGTCAACAATAAATCATCCACCATTCCAATCCAAAAGACTCTGCCAATAGAACATGTCCCACGAAATCGCCGGATCTTCCAACAGAACACGTCCTGCAAAGCTTTCAAACCTTTTTGATGTTAAATTTCAACCCCTAAAAGGTCTGTCAAGAAAAACAAATCACCCTCTCGAAAAAAGTGCTCTACCCAATTCTCAAGCAGTCAAAACACGAATAATCACCCTTGGAAAAATACCCAGCAAAAAGATCAACGTTACATCAGAATCACGTCAGAATGGGGAGGACGGGTAACTCCGGGAAAGCGTGTCTTACGTCCTGACTACTCAGAACAAATTCATGCCTCAGATAAATATTCATGTTTCAACTCAATGGCCAGTTCAAATTACAAGAACATGCCAAACCCTCTCTCCGACATCCAATACCTTGACAAAGAAACCACTCCACCAGCCCCCCTGCTGTAACANCCCTGCTGCATCATTCATCCCGAAAAAAATCAAAACCAAGACAAACCACCTGCGACTAGGATCATGGAACAATACTTCCCCCCCCATGATTCTCACGCAGAACTATCCCATCCATCGCGAAAGCAGAAATCGACATCGAGCAGCAGATCAAAGGCTAGTACCAGGTCACAAATAAAACACATGATGCAAGAAAGGCCCCATCGCTGAAATAGTGCAACACAAGGAACAAAATCAACGAATGTTCATCACGAAGTCACGATGCGCGCAAAAAGTCTCCTTGGGGAGCGGTTAGTCGTACTGCTCAAGCTTCAACCCAACGACCATAGGTGTCTCTTTGTCCGTCGTCACACCGAACTTGGCAACGATCTTCTCCGCTACAGCCTGTTGCGAAATAGTCACCGTCCCCAACACCGTGTCACGAGAAAACCGGCAACCAGCATACCATCGCAGTTCCCCAAGGTTGGAAACGGGCACATACCGGTTGAGGTCAACACCAAACTGATCGCACCTGCTCTTGAGCCCGATAGAGAAGATGTCGTCTACGTGGATCACAACCACCATGGTGACTA